TTGTGTTGGATGCTACAATCTTTATCTAAATATGAAAGTTTGTTGTTACATTGCTTCAGATAAATGCATGACAAAGTGTAATGGTGGTAATGAAATGGAACAGATAATCAAGTGGTAAACTAATTACTTAAAGAAAATTAAACCAAAGGATGAACAAATGGAAATGGTAGTAATGAAAATCCTAATGCCCAAAAGTAGCCTGACATGCACCAAGAAAAACCACCCAGGTTGCTGCTGCTCCAAAAAAAAAAAAGACAGCCAACCCTTATAAAAGAATAGCAAAAAAAAAAAAAAACCAATAAGCAAAATAGCTGCTGCCCACAAACATTACAAAAACAATAGTTGCTAGCTAAAAAAAAACTGCAGTTGCCAGCTAAAAAAAAACTGCAGCACCTCACTAGTAGAACACCAAGGACAACATTTAACAAACCCCGCATCAAAACGCCTTTGCTTGAGTGACCAAGTCCGGGGGAGAACCAAAAAAAGGGTGGGTATAAATCCCCAAAAGGGCGTTGCATTAAGCAATGTAACACCCTTCACTAGTTGAGGGTTGCAAGCAGCAAAGTAAACTGCAACAAATCCACCAAGTGAGTTCCCCACAATATATATTGGTTCACGAATGACCCCCTCTATGAAATTACGAACCTGATCCTTCCATAAATCCATAGAAAAAACAAGCTGACTTGCCTATGGTTCAGCGTCATCTCCAAATCCCCACACTTTATCCTTCTTTTCTATTGTACCTCCTTCGTTAGACTGTGCAGTAGGATCTTCAAATGGCAATGACATGCCTTGCCCAAGAAAGTCAATTGCCTATACTCTATAATCCCTGCCCAAATCTTTTAGTTGCTTCTCATAATGAAAAGAACCAACCCCAAAGCCAGAAAGAAACAGCACAAGTGGGGAATTTACATTTTCACACCTTGCCTTCTCATAATGCACAGTAAATTTAGGTTTCCACTCCCAAAAGCAACTACTTATATTTCCAGGTATCGGTGCAGCACATTCACCATTGGATTCATCTGGCAAGCCTAGAATTAAAACCTTGGGTATCGGTGCCCCATCTTTCGAAATATTTCCAGCACCCTCTTCCCCCTCAATTGCGCCATTATGTTGCTGGCTTCTGGCGGCCGGCAGTGGTTGCCGACGGCCGACAGTGGCTGGGTTGGTGGGGGTGTATTGTTTATTTTCCAAAATTTTATTATGGGGTTGTTTTTGCTAAGTTTTTTAAATATAGGGGGTTATAAAGAATGTAAATAATATTATAATATTAATATTTAATTAAAGGACAATTCAGTCATTTAAACAATATACCCACCAATTTATTCCTTCTAACCAAACATATTATTAAAACATACCCACCAATTTATTCCAACTAACCAAATACATTTTCCTAAAGATTCTCAGTAATCTTTCAAGGTAATCTATCTTTCCAGTAATCCAACATTTCTAGTAATCTAACATTCCCTGAACCAAATGCCCCCTTAGAAATACATTGTAGTGGAACTTAATGTGGATAAATGTGCATGAAAATATGTGAACCTTGAGGGAGGGTTTGGATCGGGGGTAATCTTCGTTTATTTTGCAAGATTCCGGTGTTTGATTTGCAAATAATAAAATATTACGAGAATCTTTTATTGCAAATAGTGTTTACTGTTGGTAATGTTGGGGGTAATCACCCCTGAGATTAAAATATTACTGGGTAATCTTATTTTTTTACCTATTTTGCCCTTAATTAAATACCATTTCAGATACGATTGCCCTCAAATGTCTACCAACGAACAATTACCTAGCCCCCCTACATTTGAGAAAATAAGCTAAAACACCCCAGCCATCAAAAAGTTTAAAAGTTAACAAAATACCCTTAGCCACCCAAGACCACTGTCGGCCATTACTCACCACCGTCGGCTGTCGGAGGCAGTCACCGTAATGGTGCACAACCAACGGGATCTAACTAGTTGTGCATCGGTAAGGCCTTTTTCGGCCATGGATCACAAATCCATAGCTGGAAATAGCCAGATCTAGCGTTTCTTTGGCCGTGACGGCACGGCCAAATCTATGGTTGTGTAATGGCTTTGGATTTGTGATCCATGGATGAAAATGGTTTTGCCGGCGCACAGCCGGCCATATATGGCCACTTGTGCACCATTCCGTCAACAGTGGCTTGGGGTGCCTTTTAGTGATTTTCCTACAAATTAAAGTTTTATATGACTGGGGTGTTTTAGCAAAATTTCAAATGTAGAGGGTTAAAAGAAACGATTCAAAAAATAATAATAAAACATACTATTATATTAATATTTAAAAAGGAAGATAATTTAGTAATCTATATCACATACTCACCCATTGATCCTCCCAACCAAACATATTATTCACTAATTTATTCAAACCAATCAAACACATTTTCTAAATATTCTCAGTAATCTTTAAGGTGATCTATCTTTCTGTTAATATAATATCTCCCTATAACAAAACATTATATGATCCAAACGCCCCTAGAGAGAATAAAAGAAAAACGAGTTTTGCAAATTGTAGGCTGTTTGCAGATGCAAACTGCAGGTTGTTTGCTTCTTTATTCAGATTTTGTAGATTTTTTAAACTGTTATAGTGGTGTTTTTTTCAATTTTTTTTTTTAACATCTTTATTCTTTTGTGGGTGTTATCTGCAGATTATTAATAGGTTACATTACACCATGTCAAGTTGACATAACCGGAGAGGAGAGCTAAGCTTAAAAAAAATTAAGAAAGAGGCAAAGAATCAAGGAAAGGAGTTGACTGAAACCAAAGAAGCAGAACAGGTCCCCCAAGCTGCTGTGCTGGTACTTTGAAATTGTACTAATTTTCTTCACAGATTGACCTAATAGAGAATTAGGGATAATATTATAAATTTTTCATGTTAATTTAAATTTATTGAGGGTGTATAACTATCTAGTTATATTTGTTTCTTGTGATTTTGACACTTTCTCATATGATTAGAAGTTTTTCAATCCCTTTAATATCTTCTACCCTTAAAATTGTCATTTTGAAGTTATCTGCTTCATCATTTGTTATCAATTTTCTCTTACGTCGCATGTGGCTGTGTATTTTTTATCTGAAGATTCTTACTTTGTTTATATTATTTTTTGGGAATATTAAACTCAAACTATGTTCATTGTGGTGGATAAGACCTGGTATCTTTTGTTCTTGCATTCTCTATTTCTAATAACAGAACCTTGTTGTTTGTTTAGGCTGAGGTGAAAAAAGATCTCACAGTTGAAGAAGCTTTTGAAAGTAAGAAAGCATAAACTTGCAGAACTTGGAATTGCTCTGATTGCAGATCCAGAGTCTGATGCTAGAGATGACTATCCTTCTGCTGCGAAACTTGGATTTCTCCCATTTTATGATAGCTTCCGGATTAGGCTTCCTACTAAAAAGGAGCTACAGATGAAGGTTTTCAAGGATGTTAAGAAGATGAGGTTCTATAACCAAATCCTTTTGGATGAAATTATAAGTTATTTTGAAAATTGCATATACATTATGAAAACGATTTTTCTTTTACGTTAACCATAAAATGATATGTAATGATTACATTGGTCAATATGATTAATCCTTTTTTTTTTTTTTTTTTTTCAAAATTTGATATTGTAGGTTAGTGGAAATTCTTAAATGGTCAGGAAAGGTAGCTATGACATTGAAGCATTTATATTTTGTAGAAAAAATTAGTTGATAACATTTTAAATTACTAGGAAGAAGGATTTTATGAGTAGACAACTATTTGGTTGAAAATAACTTTATTAATGTTTTATTTTTTATATTAGATTTTTTTTATGACGTTATATTATCTATTTAATATTTAAATATTGCTATAAATTTGTGATTATTATTAAATTTGTTAATTATAACAATATTTTTTACAATTAATTTTAATAGAAGCAATAAATTATAAATTATTTGTTTCATTGCAAATAATTATAATATTTAGCTACAAATTAAAAGTATTCATAGCAAGTAATTTCAATATTTAGCTATTAATGCATTATATTTATAGCAAATGAATTTCATATATAGATATAACTTCAATATGTCTATAACAAATAATTATAATATTTAGCTACAAATCAAAAATATTTGTAACAAGTAATTTCAATATTTAGCTATTAATGCATTATATTTATAGCAAATGAATTTCATATATAGATATAACTTCAATATGTCCATAACAAATAATTATAATATTTAGCTACAAATCAAAAATATTTGTAGCAAGTAATTTCAATATTTAGCTATTACATGCAGCTAAAATGTTAATATATTTGTCATGAATATTATTTTTGTACTAGGAACTTTTAAGTTTTAGTTATGGAATTTTTAATTTTTTTATAAGATCCTGAAATCTTATAAATTTGCTGCAAATACTCAAAATAATGGGCTTTTAAGAGCGGCCATTTTTGCACATTTGATACCTCCCTACAGGTTATGGACCAGGCAGGCAATTGTGGGCTACAGATAACAACATAACCTATTGGGTTGGATTGATATTGGATAAACCCATTAGAGCGTTGCTATCTGCACTAATGAGATTGTACAACCCTAAGTACTAACTGATGTGGCAAATGACACCTTACCTGCCACATCACTTAATTGCCACATCAGTTTTCCTAAAAGTTATATATATATATATATTTTTTTTTTTCAAATTTCACTTCCTGAGTCAGACTCCCTAAATCAAATTCATTCTGCAATGCAAATCCCCTCATTCTCTACCTCTCATCTCACAGTCAATGTCTCAAAATTTCCCAAAAATTTCTCAGATCCCATCCCAAATTCATTACACGCTGTGACGCCAACAAACCAAAGCCGAATCTTCTTTTCCATGTCTCGCCAAACGCCGTCGCGCCACGCCTAGCCAGATGCCGCGACGCCTCACCAAATGCCGACAAACCAGAGACTTCTCGTCGTTTCCACGCCTCACCAGAAGCCGCCGCGTCTCGCCAAACCAATTGCGATCGTTGTTTCCACGCCTCGCCAGATGCCGCCATGACTCGCCTCGCCAGTTGCTGCCATGCCATGCCTCGCCTCAGTCAGATTTGATGTACTCACAGTAATTGAAGCACCACCTCAGTCAGATTTGATGGTGGAGCTTATAAAGAAGCTGAAGCCTCAGGTGGTAGTTTCTGGAATTGCTAATTTTGAGACAGGTTGAGGTTTGGATATATTGTATAGTTGATTTTCATTATATATATATATATTGATAGTCATATACAGTTGTAAACTGCTTGTCAGATAGAATTGGAATAAATATTTAAAATCTTAGTCAACTAGTATTGGATGGGACTATTAGCTTGGCAAAATATCGGTTTGATACCATCACTTATCTTTGTGCAAAAATTAATCTGTATGATTTCTACAATTCTCAGGCAGTCAATTACGCTAGTCCTTCAAATTGATGTGAAATTCTACTTCCTTTTTATCTATTCAAGAATCTAACATTATTGTTATAGTGAATTACTCTCTTCTCTGCTCTTATCTTGTCATGACAAACTGAGTTGTAAAACCTCGCCTGCAGGGTTCTTGCTGCTGCAACTAAGAGATCAGGGAAAGACAGTGAAGGTAAATTGCTGGTTTTCTACGTAATTATTGTTTTTGAAAATTTGTTTGGATATGATTCAGTCCTAATGTTCCGATTGTTTTTCAACTTCAAATGGAACATCTGAGAATGGATCAGATGGTACTAAGAGAGACCGTGTGATGCCAGATATATGTGTGATATGCCTTGAGCATGAGTACAATGATGTTTTTGTCCCATAAGTTCATTAGTATGTTTTGTGTATTTATATAGACTGCTGAATTGCCTATTTGTTTGGGTTACAATGCCATGTTGCAAAATTCTTAACTATTTTCTGAAGACTAAGAATTGGAGTATATGGCCCATTTCCTAAGCCTTCAAATTCTAGTTGGTCAGAGACAGGTTGAGGTTTGGATATATTGTATAAGTTGATTACATGTTATGATTAAGCATTTATTTCATATACTCCACATAATTATTCATTTTACCACCAGCCCCAAATCCTTTCAGTGTCTCAGAATAGAGGGAAAAAAAAATAGGAATTCTGCGGAGCTTTTTTGCTTTTAGCTTTTATAAGCCAATATTAATATATGGTTTGCTTGTTTGATTGGTTGTTGTCTAAACTCCAGCTCTAGCTAAACTAAATTTTTGCAATTTTTGCAGGTTCCAGGAGATTGCTTCATTTCGGGTAGTTTGTCCAGGTTTGAGAGATGTTGCTTTTTGCAATGTGTGCAATTTCTAGAAGGTTGTTGCAGTTTGTATAGGCTGTCCAATGTGTGTTTGCTGATGGGAGTTTTCTGCAGTTTGTGGGGCTTTTGGTTGTTGGTTATAGGATTTGTGGTGGGTAATGTAGTGTGTGCAATTTGTAGAAGGTTGTTGCAGTTTGTATAGGCTGTCCAGTGTATGTTTGCTGTTGGGAGTTTTCTGCAGTTTGTGCCTTTTGGTTGTTGGTTACAAGATTTGTGGCAGGTAATGTAGTATTTTGGAGGATTATGCTATAATTGTGTTATTGCCGAGGAAGTGCTATAGCTTGGTCGAAGATGTAGCAGTTTTTGCAGTTTTTGTTTGCTCTTTCTGGGAGATTTTGCAACTAGTGTAGCTTGTGCGTGTGTGTAGTTTTTGAAGCTGCTGCAGTTGTTCTTTGCCTTTGGTGCTGTGTGCAGTCTTCGGGTGTCTGTTACAGCTTGTGTGGTCCATGTTGTTTGTGGTATTTTGTTTTTGATATTTCCTTCCAGCTTGTACAGCTTTTGTAGTTTTGCCCCTTGGGAATGCCCAAGGTTCTTGGTTCTAAAGGGGAGTCCCCTTTCCCAGGTTGTAATGCTTTTATTCTTGTATAAAATTATTGAGTTTACCCAAAAAAAATAAAAAGTAACTTATTATGAATATAATTATGTGTATATATACATATATTGAATTTTTTGTTGTTTCTTCCAAATATGGATTAGTATTTACATATCACAAAAAGATTGCAAGATCATCTATACAAAGATTATGTTCCAAAAACACTGCACTAATAGCCAACAAAATGCAGCATTGAAGTTGCAACTCCAGAACACAGTGCACAAACAACCAATCTTCTTAACAAAACACTGCACTTCATAGCTCCAAACTTACTTCTGGGAACTGCAAAAATGCAGTTTTCTGCTGCTGCATCTCCAAACAAAACTCTCCAGAATCCTTTGTTTGGCCATGCACCAACGCCACCCACCACACAACAACCAACATACCCAAATACTAAAAAGAACAAAAACAAAGCTGTAGCACCAGAACACCTCAAGAGCAGATCCAACACACAAAAAACTACACTAGCTCCAAAAATCTGTAAATTTCCAATACTGGAAAGAACAAAAACGAAGCTATAGCACCAGAAAATCCTGCACCAACCCAATAGTCTCCCCTGAAATTAATGTTAAATGTTGGAGACCTGCTACAAAAAAATAAAAATAAATAATACAGCTAATAAACATCTTAATACAATATTAGAAAGTTAATTCTAGTGCTCCCGAACCAAGACATGCATCATTTATCAATGCACCATCCATGAGCAACTCATTCACATCACTAGCATATGCAGGCACCAATCTTAACCTACCACATTAAGGGAGCAAAAATATGGCAAGCAACAATGAAACCACACACAAGCAGTTAAATAAATACACAATCATTTTGATACATGATTTTTATAAGAAAACTAAAGAATCATAAGCACCTGGAGCTGCTGCCCTTCCGTTGATGAACATGAGCATCCAACTTCCTAAAACTCAAGTTCTTTTGATCCCTGTGCAACATACAACAAGAACTCAACCACATGTTATTCTAAAATAACAATCTTTGGGTGCATACATTTCTACAATTCACATGTAAACATCAACTTAGACAAAGAAACATAAATGGATTGCATACCTGAGTTGCTTGATTAAATCCAAGTGTGAGACCAGGATTCAAACTCATAGCAACTTCTTGTTGTCGCAATTTCTTCCCTTTTACTTTGCGAACAATTTTTTCAACCTTTGATTGTTTTCTTTTGAATGGGGGACGACCTTTGCTGCGAATAGCCCGTGGAGTAAGAATATTACTGCTCCCTTCTTTCAAAGTATCATCACCAACTTCACAAATCATTCTATTATTACCTGACATGTTTGGTCTTTTATCAATCCCGACACTTTTATTTGACATCAATTTATTCTTCATATCATTGATCATTTCTTTCACTATGTTACAATCATCCTCATTGCTTGATGCCAAATCTGCTACAACGTTGAATAAATTAGACAACTCATCAAATCGTTGTCCGTCAAGATTGGTGCTCCAACTATTATAACTTATTTTAACCTTGGTATGGTGTCTGTTTATATTTTTCCTCCATCGTCTTAAAACGTACTTTTCTGGTACATGAGAAACTTGCTTACGAATCAATACCACAATTGCATGTCGACATAAAATTCCTCTAAACTCAAACAATCGACAATTGCAACGAACATCACAACTTGCTTCATCAAAGCAAACCACAAAAGGAACACGACGGTGAGTCTCTCCAACCAAAACATCTTCTTCTATTATAGATTCCATATAGGAACCAATCTCTTTGAAAGAAGATAAATCACAATAGACCTTGGCAGCTAACTCTTGTTGAAACTCTTTGAATTTTGCAGTGGTATATGCATCTTAGAATTGTTTCTCCATAGCATAAGTGGTTATGCAAGGGATCCATGATTTGAAAGATTTAAAATCAGCCTCCTTTTCTTTTTCCACTTTATCACGCAATGCATTCTTAGATTGTTCCACAAACTGTTTTAAAGTGGTTTTTGAATTAACATATCCATCAAAGAATGCATGCATACTTTCACTGCATTGAGTAGTAGACATACCTGCCCAAAAAGTATCTTTTACAAAAGCCGACACCCAACGTCGTCTTTCATTATACAATCCAAGCAACCAATCATTGTCGTGAAGGTTGTATTTATCAATGAACCTATTCCAACATTCTTCAAACTCCTCACATGTCAATGAATCATACACGACATTTTGCAAAAAAAAAAACTTAATCTGTTCATATTGACTATAACCTCTAAGTTTTTTAGGCAATTTCTTCATTATATGCCACAAACACCATCTATGTCATGTACCAGGGAACGCAATCTCGATTGCATTTTGCATTGCCTTATCTTGATCAGTGATTATTGCTTTAGGAGCGCAATTCAACATACATGCAAGCCAAGATTGAAAAAGCCATACATATGTCTTTGTGTCCTCGTTGGAGATTAACCCACAACCTAATAGTATCGAATGACCATGATGATCAACACCAACAAAAGCACCAAACGGCGTATCATACTTGTTGGTCAAATATTTAGTGTCAAATGTCACAACATCACTGAACTCTTTAAATGCAGTCCTACTTCTTGCATCCACCCATAAAACATTCTTTAATCGACCTTCTTCATCCAAATCCATTATGTAGAAGAAATTAGAATTCTCATTTTGCATTTTCAAAAAATATTTTTGGATTGCAGAAGCATCTCCAACACCAAGTCGTAACCTCCTAACTTTTTCAATGTAGTTCCTACAATCTTTCTGTAGGAAAGGCAAATTCTCAGCACCGCCTGCTTCAACTAACATGGAATTGAAATTTTTATTTGGCCTAATCCCAGCCCTATCATTCACTTCAAGCTTTCTTTTTACATATGGTTGTTTAATTTGATTGCTTCTGAAATATCTACTTTTGGTAGGACTACTGAGTTCATGATTATGATCAAATACAACTGAACATATTTTCCATTTGCCGTTAGAACGTACAGCTGCACCAATTCGAGCCTTACAATCAGTTTTTGTCACTGAATGCATTTTAAAAGCATTTACAGGGTTACTGTGCGACTTCCCAATACAAGAACAAACTAGTGTCGCGTTTGTCACCTCTCCATCATATCCTTTCTTTGAAGATCGTATAATAACTTCGAAACCCATTTTATTCCCATAGCTTTTGTAGTGTTAGACAAGATTATCAAGCGAATCAAAAATCATTCCAAGCTTAGGCTCCCATTCCTTCTCTGCACTTCTTGTATCTTCCATTTCTTCAAAATGATTATCCTAATTTATTGATATTATAATAGCCATAATTAAAATATAATAATACAACAAAAAGGATAGGAACAATACCATAAAAAAATTAAAATCATATTAATGAATAAAAAGAGATTACCAACAAAATATTACCTCCACAACATTGAAATGAGAAGAAGAGTTGTCTGGATTTTTTTCACTACACTCTTCCATCTTTGGAACTTTGATACAACACCAAGACCAAGTTCAAAAAATCACAACCTGCAATAAAAAGAAATAAATTGACAAATAAACTATTTTGCAATGAAATAGTCCAACAATTGTCAAACCACAACATAAGCAACAGATGTTAACAAGTACAACATTTTATTTATAGCATTTTATCATGACTCTCAAGCTCCTTATATTGTTCTTAGATGATGTTTTAAAGCTATAGAAATAATACCATGAAGCAAAAGATGGTTCAATCTTATGGGTTTCTATTTTGAGAGCAATTTTTTTATAAATTCAACAGATGAAAATGATGGGTGCTGGCAGAAGATGATGGTCGACGCTGGTGGTGGACGACGGCGGCCGACGCTAGTGGTGGAAGACAGCAGGCCACGGTGGTGGTGGTAGAGGATACACTGCTGGTCAGTGGCGGGTTTCTGTTTTTAGTTTCAAGTGCGGGTCTCTGTTTTTAGTTTGAAAGAATTTTTTTTTTTTTTTTTTTTTTTTTTTTTTTTTTTTTTTTTTTTAAGGCTTTGGAGGGAACTTAGCCACGTCAGTTAGTACTGAATTTGTACACCTTGGGTTAATGCAGGTAACTTTATTCGACCCATTAAACTTGTCCATCAACAGTATTTCTTTCTTCAATCTTACTAAAATATTAAATAAAACAATTAAAATTCAATTAACTGGGTCTGGAAATGGGTTTTGGATTGGAATGGATTCCAATTATCCTTCTTTACTTTCTTGGAAATGGAGTCTGTATTTCTAGTAAATTTGGTAGAAAAAAACCCCAAGCAATAATGTATAAAGAGATTCCATGAGGCTTGTTTCTTTGGTTGACCTTTGACCCGCATAAGTACTTATAAAAAATATTACAAAGTAAATAATACTACATCAGAATTTCAAATTTAAACTATTTCAAAAACCCTCTGTCTACCCCCAAAATTTTCAATTTGGAAAATTCAAATACTCCAACATTCACACATTCTTCACAAAACTCGCTTAGCACTATTATTGCCATGTGCTCATCCTTTTTATGAACTTTCTTGAGAGAAACTCTAACTCTCATGAGAAGCGACACCACCTCTAAGTTCATATTGGTGAAGTTCTTCTAGTATCTTTGTTATATTTAAGATACTCGTCGCATATAGACTAAACTTCAAGTAGGAGTATTGAACTCAACCCCCAACTGTAACAACCAGCTCTAATCATCTAATATACACAGGGCTTTGAAAATTTAATTTAGTGCTGAAAACTTTCCACTTATCGATGACTTGTTTGTACCTTTTGAACTTAAGACTAATCATTTCCTAGTATTAAGTTGGGTTGCCATCATTGGTGGATCTCTTAGTTCAAGAGTTTTAGCCCCATCCCTCTGGATGTAGATTTTACCAATTCTCTTGAAAAAGATTTGGTAAATGGATTAGCCAAGTTTTCACTTGATCTCACATATGAGATAACAATAATTCCACTTTGAATTAACTGTCTCACATACTCATGTCTAAGACTAATATGTCTTGACTTTCCATTATACATACCATTATATGCACGAGCCAAAGTGCCTTGACTATCACAATGTATCGATATAACAGACACATGCTCTAAAATAAATAATGTTAATGTTATTTGTTATTCAAGCATCCATGTCAATAAGAGTTTACGGTTTAGGGTTTTTTGGGTAAACCTAGTCATTGTATTGAAAAAAGAATAAAAAATAGAAGGGGAAAGAGAGAAAGCTCTCTTTAGAGTCCACTCCTTGGATATATCCAATAAAGCTACCAAGGAACCAAGGATGTACGATCCCCTACACAAAGGCCCAATCAAAAAGGCCTAAGCAAACACAAAAAACAAACTATCTATACAAGGCCACATAACCCAAGAAGTCTTTACAATACAAAGGAGCCCACACAAAGAAGAAGAAAAACGGGCGCCCACAGCCCATGCAACCTTCCCACGGACCCAACCCAAAAACCTTACCGAGCAACAACCCACGCAACCAGCCGACTCAAACTAAACTGGCAGACGGAAGCCCAGGCAAGAGAGAGCAAAGGGCTGACGCTGCCAGCCCATGCAACTGCCCACGCACGTAGCCTCAAAGGCTGCCGACTTAACAGCCCACACACGAGCCCACTCACACTGCCGAAAGAAACCACCCATATGAACCTTCATCAACCAAAACCCAGCACCCTCAACAGACCCCTTGATCATCCATTTCCCTCTTCTCACAAACCAGGACACCAAATGCCGCATAAAAAAAAATCCTAATAGGAATCAAGAGGAATAAAGTTCAAGACCTACCGAGTAATATACTAAGAGTCTCTATCGTGGCCAATAAGATTTAGAAAAAGTTGAATGATAAAAGGCAACAACATCTCCACTATATATAATATATTCAACTGATCTTCTAGTATTAATTTATTCACCTGAAACTATCTTACAAAAGCTGAAGCTTAGCAAAAAGGTGCAACAATAAAGAAAAAAAAATAGTGTATATAGAGAATGTCTAGCTGTTATGCCTGCCAAAACAGGCTACAGAAAATCAATATCAATACTCAAATTTGATGGCATTTCAGAACATGTATTGCACTGTGTATAATTCACAGTTGCAACCATGAAAAAAAGGAGAAGCACCATCAACAAAATAGATCCCAATTCCTTTGAATATTTATATATGAGTTTAATTTATGCAGCTTTAATCTTCAGATTTACAGTATTGCAGTCCCAGCAGCCCCACAATCTTCTGATCATGATCTTGTTTATTTTATATCTCTAGAACAATATCTGCAAGAAATGAGACAGTTAGAGATCGGATTAGGGATGTGTTTAACTTGTAATCTAATAATTAGAAACAGATTAACAAAGCTGAAGAGATTAAACTTACATTCTGAATCTGTCTTCACCCATTTACATCCATTATCTCTATTATTATTTCTCTCCTTTGTCTCATCATCTTCATTTCTGGTCTTTTTACCTACTACTTTCTTATCCTCCAAGTATTTCTTCATCGACGGCGCTCGAGCATTCTGAGAGTTCATCTTCTTATGTAGCATTACCCTCAAGAACTGTCGAGAAATACATGATAACATCAGCTCAAACATGTATGCATATACGTATGTATGTTATGTTATGTGTATGTGTATGTATACGTACCCTCTCCATTCTTGATTCTTGAAGGGTATCTCTCAAGCTGGGTTGAGGAGCGAATCCGCTTCTACAAACAAACATTTTCTTGAGGAGGAAAGAGATGGATTTTTTCCCGAGAGCTTTCTTGCTATTATCAGCTCGAATGTCTTTACATCTACCGAGAATGACACTGATCGTCCGATCAATATCTTCATCTTTGATATCTTCATGATCATCCGGTTCACAGCAAAGTGCATTGCTGATTCTCCTATCCACCTCCAAGCTCGAAGGACAATTAAGAAATCTATCCAATGGAAGGTTGGCAATATTAATTTCTTTTTCTTTTTCTTTTTCCTTTTCCTTTTCATTGTTATCAGAAGATGGTTTTCTCCTCAAGAGTTTTGTCAACTCTTTCTCAAATTTCCCAATTTCTTCTGGTGTGAAATCCTGTAAATCCATTGACGAAGATGGCTCATCTTCTTCAATGTTTTGAATCTCTTGATTGTTGTTGTTTTTATTTTCCTTTAGCTCATTGTTACCAAATGTTCCAATTGCTAGCAATCCATGAGGCCAATCGCTGAACTCTTCTCGAGGCTCCTGTTTCATGCGATCTACAATATACAAAAAGAAAATATATTTAAATTAATTTATATTCTAGATGAAATGAGAAATTATGAGATAAACAATCAATTAAAAAAAAAAATACTCGAAATTTGTAATTCGATACGTTGATTGTTCGTTGACTTGTATCATTTTAATTAGTGAAATATTAATACAAGAATAAAAGTTAACCACTTGATTTATTAAATCAAATGCAATTCAATCCATTGACCTGTTTTGTACTTCGATCTTGATTTAAATTTAAATTAATTAGATCTTAATAACCAAAATCAAAATATTAATTAACACTAAAAATCCCTTTTCCCATCTCTCTCCCAATATTAAACACTAAATTATTTCTTTAATTTCTTAAACCAATTGTTTTAACCATAATAACTAAGAACACTTCAAATCCTTTTTTAGAAATTCTCACAAGCAATTGCATGCATCAAAACCTTAATTATAAAGAGTGCAAAAATTGAATAACTAAGATGGAGAAGAAAATGTCTCGCGTGTCAAAAAAGATTGGCACATCCGTTTTGGTCGGTTTTGACCTTCTTTTAGAATATGTTCCTTGTATATTGTATATTTTTTCTTTCATTTATACATATTTACCATTTCCAAAAGAAGATGAAGAAGAAGATGAATGAAGAACAAGAAGAAGAAGAATGCTTACAAGTAGGAGGTGGAACTGAACTTGATTTGTTGTTATCTTGCTTGCCATTGAGCTTATTTTGCATCCAACTGAAGAGCTGCGACCAAACAAATAATCATCAAAAACCCTCCAATATTAGAACCCCACATGCAAAGAAGATACATATAACTAGCTTGAATGGTCTCTCTCTTACACACACACACACATACTTACACTTACCTTCATTATCTTTGAGAGAGGGACTGAGAATCTGTAGCTTTTATTTGGTCAGAAATGAGAGCTTTTTTTCTGATATATATCAGAAGGCAATAAGCTAAAGAGGAAGGAAGGTGGTGAGAAATGGCGCACTTGGAGAAGAAGAAGACAAAGAGTTTAAAAAGCTAATCAATCTTAATAATCAACGAAAAGTAAGCTCTCTTTTTGAAAGCATAAACAAACAGATCAACTTTGATAAATTTCATGCCAAAATATTCTTCCTGATCAGAAGTTTATAATTTTTCTTTTATTTTCTAGTAGGTTCAAGTTCCCAAACCACCACTCTTTAAATTTGTATCTTTGTATTCAACATTTTGTTCACTAATCTCTTCACCTCTTTTCTCTCTTGAAATACAACTCATATATCCCATACCCCCATGCCATGCACTCAATTATATAAAGACATTCTGATCTTATTATCTCATATATGATAATAATTGATTTTTATTCATAAAATAACACATGGCTGGGAGGGTTCTCCGGGGGGGCGAATTCTGGAACATCCACAGCATTCGTGACACTCGTTAGATCTAAAAATGCTGAATTCAAGACAGGTTTTTAAGTACGAATAGAATACCAATCTCTATACATATTTGTTTATCTAATGGTTATTGGCGTGACACACATCACCCATGCATTTTGTTCAAAGACAACTTCGTCTCCACTTGAGATTTAATATCTCCTTGTGCTTATAATCTTGTTTATTAATTAATAATTACGTACATACTTCATGCAATTTCTTCAACCTTCTTCTACATAACCTTAGTATCATTTTGGTCATCGCATTATGTACTAGGATGCTATATTTACGCATTAATTTTAAAGTTTAAATCACGACATGTTATGTATTTTGTTCACCCGTGGATAATCTAGATGATTAAAGCGATTTGGAGATAATGTGGATAGATGCATAGTCTCATGTTTGATTTTTCATCTGAACATCTGTGATCTAAGTGGAGGGTCGTGACGGTGGATTGTTGTGTTAGTCTCTCCCACTATCTAGCTTCTTGACCCTTGTGTGCTTGATGAACGAAATAGAGACAGCAACGAGAACAAAACAATAATAAAGCAAATCACAGATAATAAACACAGAGAAAATAACACGTGCAATTTACCCTGATTCATCCAATATGCGATACATCCAGCCGAGTCAATATTATTATAATATTTCCTCACCTCTCTTTCGTTTACAATGAATGAATTATCCTATGATTTGCTATCACACTTATAACAAGAGAAAAATATGTTTATATACTAGGTTTAAGTGACAAAACCAAATTTTACAAGGATTCCTATTCCTAAGCGCAACCTAATAAGGAATTAATAATTTAAAGAAAATCTTATAGCGGATATACATGAAAAAGGACCAAACCGCCTAGGGGCCTAGTGAGCGGGGCCCCCTCCCACTGACTGGGCAACAGGACCCCCAAATGCATATGCGTAACCCAATAATGCTGAAGTAGTCGACAACTTCAACACTTGATTTATAAGATGCATTTGGAGCTGGCATGACATTATCTACATGTGTATAAAATATAGTAAAGGTATTATGTATAAAAGCAAGAGAGAATTAATACAAATTAAAAGTCACAAGAAGAAGCAAACAAATGACAATTGGGCATGCATGAGAGTGGTTGGATCGGAGAACAAAGGAACCGCAAGTTCCCGTGGGATTGTCCACACCGACCAAATCAATCCCTTCAATCTCACCTGCCCCAGTTCTGTAGGGCACCTTCTTCATAATCAATCAATAAATTATTTTGTTGTGCAATGGAATTGTTGGTTTTCTGTAGAAAATTAATTAAGAGCTCATTGTTTTATCGATCTTTATATGAAAATATTGCACATGGTGTTTAAGCATGGAGGTGTTGGTGATGGAGGAAGATTTGGTCTTCATCCCAAGAGATTATCAGGTGCCTCTTCGTTTATAAGCACCACAAATGAAGCCCTGGGAAGGTAAGAAAACCTTTTAATGGAAGAAGAAGAAGCTGGCTTGCTCTTGACCAATTAATAAAATCTTGTTCCAATTAAGCTCTGAAATTTATACATAATTAACCGAAACAAATCTGTCTTGGCTACAAAAACAGGAAACATTCAAATCTAATTTTCCAAACTACAAATCCCCTATCTCCTTAGACACTCCAATATTCAACATATCTATAGATATAGTACAGACAATAATTTACTAAATAAAAATAAGAATTAACTCTCCATTATCAATTATCTATTTGGTAATATAAACACAGATATTTATCACCGACGGTCGACTTTTAATCGACAAAATATAAGTATCTTATCACTCGATTGTTTTTTTTCTGTAACCAAGGTGTCCGGGTCAGCTTATATATACCTCAACTAATCCTCAAGGGAGACTAACATAGCAACCCATCGCCTCGGCCTCCTACTTAAATCGGGTTGAATCTTTTTTTATTTTTTTTATTTTATTATAACCAAGGTATCCGAATCAACTCATGTATATCTCAACTAATCATCAGAAGAGATTAGCGCAAGAACCCACCGTCACAACCCTCTACTTAAATCGAGGATGTTCAGATAGAGAATCGAACCCGAGACTATAAGTCTATCCACATATCTCCAATTCTCCTTAACCATCTAGGCCACCCACGGATGGACATATCACCTGAATCACTAATCTATAGTTGAAATAGTTTCGTGATAAGATTATCAAAATTTGATTGAAATTAACATATTGGAAAGATGGTTGTGATAATTAAAAGTTTAATTAATTAAAATTCCAACATTGGTAGAAATGTATTGGCCCCAAATTTATGGCAGTTGGGGTAGCTAATTAGTGTCAACTGTCAAGACAAAGTAGATCTCATCACATCATCTCATGTTGCTCTCCAACACGTGTACCAAGGGGTCGGGTTGACTTTCCACATCTTCAATAAGTAATTAACATAAAATTAATTAAGTTAAGCATAATTAACAATCAGATTATAGTATTATATAATAATCAACAGTATCTTTCTTTTTGGATACATAAGCACGGTTTACTTGGCTGATAAGTGTTCTTGTCACACTCTAGTTGATAAGAGCTTATTTTATTAATTATTAAATAGTGTTTATAATATAATCTTTCTTTTTGGATGAATTAAGAAGAGGATTAAAGATGAGTTTTGGTTAATCGAAGCCATTTGATTGGCTGACCATTTGAGCTTCTCACGCCTTCATGCATGGTGGATTATCAGCATTTGAATGGTTTATTTTGTGGTTTCTCTCGTTCTACGTCGCTGATTAGTACTTAATTATCACTAGATTAAGAAGATATTAATTAATTAATTAACTACAATTGTATAGAATGTTCTTTGGTTTATATTACATTTACGTTAACACTAATTTACAATTCAAATGAGAGAATTTGATCGAGATTTCATCTTTTTGATACTTTCAAGCAATAATAAACCTTTAATAAAAGAATGAGAGCATTTGCAAGGAAGATGAACCAGTATACGTGCACTTCGACTAATCTTTGAGAGAAATGATGTCAATCGATTGAAGCCTGCTAATAGAAAAAGGGATTTGGGATATATAAATGTAGATAGCCAGTGTCGCCAAAACTGCACATACAAAATTACAAATGATAAAACTCATACATACCAAATGTCTATCAACACCAATAAACATTAACTGCATGAAAGCCTTGCTTCCCAACTAATCTCTCAATTCTTATTAACAATTGCTTATTTCAGGTTTCACACTATCTCCCTCCAAATCTTTCATTAAATTAACTTCAACAACATGATTTACAACTCTATAAAAACCTCATCCATCCTCAGGTTTTGCTTCATTGCAAGCTAAACTTGTTTACACAGAGTCTCTTCTGCCAGAATTGTCAACATGGGAAGCGAAAATATCCCGCAAGGAACTTTCTCAAAGATGCCAAACCCTGGCAAGGCTACTATTCTTGCCATCGGCAAGGCCTTCCCTCACCAGCTTGTTATGCAGGACTATCTCGTTGACGGGTATTTCAAGAACACCAACTGCAACGATCCAGAGCTGAAAGAGAAGCTCACGCGACTCTGTATACTTAATAAATTTCATCTCTTTTGTTTGTTTTTGCTCAATATATCATGCAGCCTTTAGTTTAAACTTTTGAATCGGGTGATTACTTAAACATGTTATGAGAATAACTGTCGGTTTTCTCTTTATGGCATCTTGCAGGCAAGACAACGACTGTTAAAACAAGGTATGTGGTGATGTCAGAAGAGATCCTGGAGAAATATCCGGAGCTTGCTGTTGAAGGCCTCCCTACAGTAAAGCAACGGCTGGAAATTTGTAATGATGCTGTGACACAGATGGCCATTGAAGCTTCACAAACTTGCATCAAGAACTGGGGAAGATCCATATCAGATATAACCCACTTAGTCTATGTCTCTTCAAGTGAAGCTAGGCTGCCTGGTGGTGATCTTTACCTTGCCAGAGGGCTTGGACTCAGCCCCGAAACTCATCGAGTTTTGCTGTACTTCATGGGCTGCTCTGGAGGCGTGGCTGGTCTCCGTGTAGCAAAAGACATTGCTGAAAACAATCCTGGAAGTAGAGTTCTGTTAGCTACTTCTGAAACTACTATTATTGGGTTCAAGCCACCAAATGCAAATAGACCGTATGACCTGGTTGGTGTTGCACTCTTTGGAGATGGAGCTGGAGCCATGATAATAGGATCTGACCCAAATTCAATCACTGAAAAGCCTCTCTTTGAGCTCCACACAGCAATTCAGAATTTCCTGCCAAATACTGAAAAAAGTATCGATGGACGGCTCACAGAAGAGGGCATTACCTTCAAGCTTGCCAGGGAGCTTCCTCAGATAATTGAAGATCACATCGAGGGGTTCTGCACGAAGTTAATGGACACTGTTGCATTGAGTAACAAGGATTACAATAAGATGTTTTGGGCAGTTCATCCCGGGGGCCCTGCAATATTGAATAGGATGGAGAAGAGACTTGAGTTGTTGCCGGAAAAACTGAATGCCAGTAGAAGAGCTCTGATGGACTATGGCAATGCTAGTAGTAACACAATTATGTATGTACTGGAGTACATGATTGAAGAGGAGCAGAAAATGAAGAAAGTGGAGCAAGGTCAAGGAGATTGTGAGTGGGGTTTAATATTGGCTTTTGGTCCTGGAATTACCTTTGAGGGAATTCTTGCCCGTAACCTCAGTGTCTGAAAAACATACGGGACCTCAAGTTTCATTCATACCAGGAGTCTTACATATATTCTCCTGAAACTAATAAAAGTATCACTATATTTGTCTTTTCCTTGGGCCCAAGTATAGATATATGAAACCCCATAATTCATAAATTGCATCCCTTATTTCTGCCTTCAACGTTAAAACACAATATATGGGTTAATGAAAAAAACCCCGTATAGCTAGGTTTATACAACCAGTCAATAAAAACATATCACATCATAACATGTAACCTGCGCATCTCATGATTAGATGGTTATACCTATCTTAACGTCAAGAAAGTTTTTTTCTCAAAATGAAACTTTCAAATAAGTAGCTCTGATGATATCCTCAACCAATGATGAAGGTTTATTGCAAGCTAATGTATTCATATACAATAATGAACCACAAGAGTGCATGTTCTACAATTCTGATCGGAAGCAAATACTACATTTGACAGTTTCATAGCGCTGCATTTCAAAATCCAAAGGGAAACCTAAGTTTCTGTCCAGCCAAGTAATGTCAAACTGAAGTATCTGCAAAATGGGGCTATAGGCTGAGTGATGCATATAAGAAAAGGATTTTATTTTCAATTCATTCACAAAAGCATACAATATGAATTCAGAATAAAGCATATCATAAGGTGGAGGCACAACAAAGTTAAATAATAAACTCAACATCTAATATGAGCAGAAGATTTGTGTCTGCACAAAGCTAATCAGGCTATAAAAATCATGTTTAAAGTATAAATATCCACCCAAATTTTTGGCATCCCCAACTTTACAAACCCACTGTCTTCCAAATTTCAAATCATATCTGAAAGAGAACCAAAACCCGTGGAGAACAAAAAGGGAACTTGTATGAGGGCCACCAGCCACATTCTCTGATTAAAGTTACTCTTAAGTATTCAGTTACACTACTCCTGAAGGAAGACGAAGGACAAGCTGTCCTCCAAAAACACTGCAAAGAAAAAAAAATTGTTATCAGCATAAAACAAAAAATGTTGGGAGAAAGCACTCCTTTAAGTTTCAAATCCATATGCACTTCACCCACTAAAGATAAACGCAAAGTCTGCAACCCACCTTTTGACATAATAGTAACAGAAATCAGCCAATATGAAAGTTTGAACAATCTCTGAGATAAGAACCATTGAAGGCCACAATCCATAGCCCAGGGCAACTAGCAAGTGTCCACGAGTATCCAGCACCTGTCAAAAGCAATGAAGATAACACCTAAGTGGCATAAACTAGTAAATATTGCCATAATAGATCTCAGTAATAACAGCAGCAACATAAAGTGAACCAAATCAAGTGCTATTTCACCAACAAATTTTTTCCTCCCAGGAGCATTACATCAACTAAAAAAGCTTTGCAGGTGAACCATGTTCTTACTGTACACTAACAGTAACTTGAGCAACACATGCAAGCTTGCTTCATTGCTGGCATATACAATAGGATATAGTAGCGTTTAAATGAGTTTACAGAAGCACAGAGTCAATAGTCTGTGATTGCAATCATACACAAATACTACTACATGATTTTCTCATATCACATATGCAAAAAGTTACTAGGATTATCATAAAGATGCCTATCCAAAAAATGATGCCAATGTTACTGCCCTATTATGCTAGCCAGTAAATGCACCATACAACAATTAAAAGCTTCGTCATGTCAACCTATGCCACCAAAAACACTGAGTGGTGGTATAAATTGAATGATGAAATTATTTTAACACATATTCAAGTAGACACCATATCAGCACACACAAATCTATAGTTTCTTATCAGAGAAAAAAAAAAAACATAAGAGCAAACTTAAACCAGTTTTATGAATTCAACTCTATAGAATCAAACCTGGAGAACCCAGTGGGCACAGCTCAAAAACCTTGCAACACCCAGTGCAAATACATAATGGGCAGTAAACGGTTCAACAATCTGAAAGCACAAAAAGAAAAAAGATTATCTATTGGGGAAAGCACAAAAGCACAAAAGGAGGAAACAAGTACGAGGTCTAATTTCAGGAAAACCTCAGAATCTATGTGTTTTACATTCTAAGATAACAAACCTTTGTGTTCTGCATAACTCGCAACTGGGGTAATACTGAAACAGCCTCAAGATACACACAGAAAGCCCAGAAAATTCTGTTCACGAAATTATGAGAGGTTGTTGGATGTATAAGCAGAGCCAATACTGCACAAGGTACCACCTGCCCCAAATTCAATAATAAGAAATAGCTATTAAGGAATAAATGAAACATGTACTCCCACATAAACTGATCCATCTGAGCATGAAGGAAGATAACTATGCATCTGACCGAACTTGTATACTTAAAATCCTAACAAAGAAATACATTTATTTCTCTAAGTTAACTATCTACACAGTGGTATTATTTGAAGAGGGCATATCAAATGTAGCAAGAAGCTTCTAGCATGGTACATTTGTCACAAAGAAGTAGCCCCATTAACTATCTCAATATCTCACAGATATACTTGATTTTTTTATTTAAAAGTTTTTCAAAATTTATATAAACTTTAGACTCACCACATAATATATTGCAAAGTTGTCCTTGTCCTCCATGTAACTAGATCTTAATTTGAAACGGATCATATAGATAACCCACAGGGTTGTTGCCAGTGTAGCTAAATCAAGGACCGTGTGTATATCATACTCCATAACAAAGCTACAGTACAGCCTAACAGCTAAAAAGATTGCTGTTAATTCCTGGGATTTGAGAGACAGTCCTGCAAACAATTATAAGAACTTTAAAGATCAAGCCACCATAGCTATAAATAATTACATAACGGTTTGCAAAAGAAATACATATAAAAAAACATCAGATGCTCTGTACACCTACAGAGGTCATGGTCATTTGGGATATAGCTTACTAAAGTACGAAAACATTAGTAAATACTAGTCTTCAGCATCATGAATTTTGAAGTCCTTAACCAGCAAGTACCATTTGAGACACAATAAGGTTCCATTGTTGTTAAGGGATTTTAAAAATTCTTGAAGAAAGCTTGTGACATTATTGCATTAGATATTCTTTTTGGGTTCAGGATATTGAGACTTTAAAAAAAATTTGACTCAAAATGAAACACATGAGCCCCTGCTCATCAAACTTAATCTAAGAGTTCAGAGAATTGTTAAATTACGAATATTAAATGTTAATTTTTTAATTCAAATCTTAACCTTTGAATTAAATAGATAAACAGGTCGAACTTTATATCCCATTCTAAGTCAAAAAATAATAACAATAGCAACCCTTTTAAAAGATAAATTTGATATCATATCTTAATGTCTTATATACCAAAAGGATCAAATTTCTATTTTTTTTTTCCCTATCTTTTGGTCCAATTTGGCAATTTCTAACTATCAACAAAACAAAATTAACCCATTAATACGATTAAAAGAGATTACATTCCTCCCATACAACAGACAAAAAGAAAAAATCAAACGCATCATGAACAAACAACTAAATAAAAAATAGAACTTTGACCCTAACACTAAATCGGACTCTCGAAACCCTAAGAAAAACAGAAACCCCAAGCTAAAATTCACACTCAATAGTCACCAAATCACAAACTTTCTCTCCATCCACCAGAATTTATCATCAACCAACCAACAAACACATCAGCACAATCAACCAAAAAAAAAAAAAAAAGGCCCCAAGATTATTTAGTTAACCAAAATAAAAAATTAAAAAAAAAAAAAGCACAATTTAGAGAAGCTCAATTCAGAAACCCCAGATAATATAATAAACACAAAACTCATTAACTAAATCAAAACAACCAAATCTTGTTACGAGGAAACCCCTAAATATTCAAATTTTATAACCAAAAAACCCATAAAGTTTAAAATCTTAATTCTTTCATACCAGCACAAGTTTTCTCTTTCATAAGCTTATATATCAACACGGAAATTCCAATGGAGTGTACAGCCTCAGCAGCTACGAAGAGATTATCGTGATCATGCACGATGAACCGTAGCAGGACCAGCGCCGCCATCCCCGAAACCACCGCCAAAAAAGCCTTCACCTTCGGCGGCTGCCGTCGGACCCATGTCGACACAGCGTGGATCGGCCTCTTCTGTGCCCTCATGACGCCACACAAAATTTTCTCCAAACGAAGGAAACGAGATAGTGAAGAAGAGACTTCCGGTTGGGGCTGATTTAATATTATTTGATTTTTGGTCGCTACACAAAACAACCGAGTCTTTAATACGGTAGCTCTCGGTTGGTAATCGGGTCGGGTGAGTATGGATACCGGATCCGGACTTTCAAAAAAACAAATATTAGATCGTGGACTTTTGTTTTATAGTTGGTCATGGATGTGGAGCGAAGTTGGGTAACCAATAATTAACCACTACATTACTTAATTAATTTTATATTATTTATCTGATTCTATGAATATTTATTTTTTGTTTTTTATCTGATTATAATTATATTTTAAAATAAAAAAATATTTAAAAAAACCTTCAAAAAGACTTATTTTTATTGTTCTTTTTAAATTAAGATTAGTGATAATCTATATCTTAAATTCTGAAAAATCTGATCTCAATCCTATATATAAAACAATGGAATGGTTAGTTTATATTTGAAAAGAAATAATAAGTTAAAATGTATATTTGGATTTATATATCTTTTGTTGTTGAAGTTGATGTCGTGTTCATATAATATTTTTATATTCCTATAATAAATAAATCACATTTGTTACTTAACGGATTTGGTGTCCAAATATATCTAGGCACTCTAAATTGTATTTAATGTTTTAAATATACATTTTTTTAAGATTATTATTTTCATTTCCCATTATCCTAAGGAGATGTCTCTTAAAAGTTAAGAAGTATGGTTTTATATTTTTTAGGACTGGGTGTTCGGCCAGCTTACGCGGTGTTTATATCAGCTTGTGTCTCGAGGTGTTTGTGTCAGCTCGTATGCATCTCAATTAATTTTCGAAACCCTAAAATTAAGGGTCAAGTAAACATTTCAGTAGTCATCTCCTTATTAATAATTGAGGAGAATCAAACTCGATATCTCTTGAGTAATACACTTAAGAGTTCCGATAACACCATCCCACCCACCCAGGAGAGAAGA